TAACTCCTATATCGGTTTTTGATTTTTGTGAACGGTGTTGCCTTAGTTACTAAAAATAGAAATAATATAATAAAATGCTACTTATCCAACATTTTTTGTCTGATTTCAAAATAACTTAGCTCACATGTAGACTACACTTAAAGATATCGGTTTTTTATTTCGATGAACGGTGTTGCCTTGGTTACTAAAATAGAAATTTCTGTGAAATACTTTCAATAAAATGCTAATCCTTCTACAGTTTTAGTCAGTTTGTAATATAATTTGGCATGCAAGTAGACTACACTGGCATACACTATTATCAGTTTCGTGTTTTTCATTTTGTTGATTAATGATGCCATGGTAACTAAAATTAAGAATTCTGTAAATTTTTTTATTGAAAGCTTTTACTACAGTTGTAGTTTTATTGCAATCTTGCCACAAAAATAGACTTAATTAAGGACCGTCATTCTATTTATTGCTTTTGTTAAGTTTTAAGCCCCAACTGCTACTTTTTTCTTCCTTTATTATAAGTAAGTACAAACGAGTAGAGCTACAGTCTCGACAGTGATATATTTTTTTTCTATCGAAATATAAGACTAAGTTTACATCTGACTTATGCATATATTATATATATGTTATATTAAAATGAAATAGATTTAAATGAATAGTTCTTTTTTCGGTACAAGAGAGACCCTCTCTATTAACGCATGTACTAATATTCATTTCTTGTACATTATACTTTTAGAGAAATGGTCCTGTTCCTAAAAAAATGTTGGAACCTTTTTCTGAGTCTTCACCTTAATTGAAATATAATGAAATATTAAGAATAAGAATCAAAACATAATTACATCAAAGTTTCAAAGCCTTTGCTATTGTTAATTAAGTTCCAAAGTTTTCACTGTAGTGAATCAAAGTTTCAAAGCTTTTACTACAGCAAATGAAAGTTCCAAAGTTTTCAATATTAATAGTAAATTTAGGTTTCTAAATGTTTATTTTGGTACTATAGTTAACTAAAGTAAACTACATGTATAGTTTACTGTAGTACTTTTTTAAGGATATGTTCGTTTTTCTACGTAAAAAAACCCTCTAAATTTCAGTTTGTCGTCCAATGTAATATCACCGACTTTCTCATCAAAATATAAAAAAAAAGCCGATCAAGCTGTAGTTTAATGGAAGTTTCAATTTAAGGAGAAGTAATGTGACAAAGTATGTTTGTAAGCGTCGGGATGGGATGGGGTGGGGATATTTACATTAATAAATATTTTATGTTGGTTATAAGGTAGGATTCTTCTCACATTTCTAGTATTTAAAAATTGATGAAATTTTCACAGAATCAAGAGGACAATATCATTAAGTGATGATATCAGTGAGATTAAATTTGACCTATAATATTAGAGGCAAAGTCAAGTCAAGGTCATTACCCTTTTCCTGGACATTAAGGTAAGACGACACGTTCCTTAATAATATGTTTTGTATCTCTTGGAAAAAGATAGAAAATAATCATATTTGGCATTCTCTTCTGATTTCTACATTGCTTTCAAAATGTTTTTAAATATAGGTACACTAAAAAATGGTGAGATAGGCTGTTTAGAAGATTACCCATAAGGGTAATATAAAAAATATGAACCTTTGGTATCTTGTCCAAATGCCTGGTAAGGTACCCTTTTTTTGCGAGGAATCTTGTTTAAGTACCTATTCTTCAAGTCCAATCTCTTAAAAAAAATAAATATTTTTGATGAAAGTGTCGTCTGACCTTAACATTAAACCAGAAGTCTCTGTCGAGACTGTAGCTCTACTGGTTTGTACTTATAACAAAGGATGAGTAATGAAGCCATTGTAATCAGACCAAAACTGTACAAGGAGTAGCGTTTTAAAGGAATTTCACAGACATTTCTATTTTTACTAATAATGGCAACCTTGTTCATCAAAATCTAAAACCGATGCACTATTTTATGTATCTTAGTGTGGTCTACTTGTGTGCCAGGTTATATTGAAATCAGACAAAAAATGTGGGACAAGTAGTGTTTTAAAGGAATCTCACAGAAAATTCTATTTTTAGTAACCATGGCAACACTGTTCATCGAAATCAAAAGATTATTATTTTTTTATTTTGGCATAAAAAGACCATATAGGGCCTATAAGATGATATTATCAAAATGACATGGATAATTCAAATAAAATGGATATTTGCTAATCCGAATTTCCTCTATTTTTCTTCTTATTTTTTTTTTTGTTGTTAGGATTTATTAGTTATTTTTATATGCTTCCTATATTGAAAATTTCCAATTTTCACATATAGTGAAGTTGTCACATAAAGGTACAAAATGATACAAAAACTTGTAGTTTTGATCGTTTACTAAGAGAGAAATAACACTTTTTACGGATGTTTGGTATAGTATGTGTGAAAAATCTTATTTATTTGATATATTTTGAAACTTTAGTCCCTTATTAGTAATTCAACTTACATTTGAAAATTTCATCTAGTCTTTGATTGCGTAAAAATTATAACTAAATTCAATGTTCTACAATAATTTTGAGAGGCAGAAAAGAAGATATTTTCAAACACAGTTGACCATTTCTATTTCAAGTTGTATAATTGTGATGAGGAAAGAAAAATATGGTCTTTTAAACCTCCTACATCTAAATATATAAAACACATCACCAAATATACTTTGAATATTCCATCTTCTCAGAAACCAGAGAAGAATCCTACTTAAGTTAAATATTTCCTAAATGTTTTTTGGAAGATTAGGGATTTTTTATTCTCCATTTTTGGAGGCCCTCTCCTTTACTGCCACAGACTTGCTTTATATGCAACCAAGGTTTCTTTTTATCATCTAAATTACATGTGCTACCCAGGGTCTTAAAGTAAGTATTTTCAATCAAAGTATTGTTTTTTATAACGATAAGAATGAAAATAAATAAATGTCATTGCAATAAGAACTCTAACTCGTGCTTATTGCCAACTAGACAGCACACAGAAAGACTTCTGTGTTTCTTTCTTTCCTTGCAGTTGTGCTACTTTATATGTATAGAATCAGATGAGCTAGTGACCAAGTGGAATCAATTTAACATCTAATTATGTAGCGCCAAGAATGCCATGCCTTAAATCGACATTCTCAAAATATAAAGTAGACAATTACACCATAGACCTAAAGAAAACGTACACCGGGGAATGCCAATGAATAAAAAAAATGACGAGAGAAAACTTTGACGAGCTAAAGTCATTCGTTAATGTTTCCTCCTTGTCAAAATTTCCACTTTTACAGTATTTTTTTTACACGCAAGATACTGAACAAAGTATTATTGTAATTATTTTATTTTATTATATTCATGATGGTTTAATTTTACATCGAACAAGTACTTCCTATTCTATCGATTACACTTTATTCAATGATTGTATTGAAAATAAACCGAAATTGTGCTCTCTTCTCTTACCAGTTTTTTGCATTGATAATAAGCCGGAATTTGAAAATTAGCCGGTTTTGAAAATAAGCCCCAACTTTCTTACCAAAACTTAAAATAAGCCGCGGCTTATTTTCAAGATTTTAGGGTATATATTATTCTAATAGTATGTTTTACTTGTATTCTTTGTTATATATCCTTAAACATAATTTGTCAATATTGATGTCTCTCTTTTTCGGAATTTGGAGAAACGGAACAGAGTAAAAATACAATAGTGAAAATCTCGATACGTATATCTGAAACGTTAACAGTGATATGTGTTAAGCTGTATCAAATCTAAAATACAAAGTTTCGATAAAAATATTCAAACATTCCCTTTACTAGATAGAAAACACAGTAAAACGTCAATAATTACCATTTATATAGCACAAAGGCATATATAAATATTTTGACAAGTGATATCTCATTGTTCAGGAAAGGTGGATGTGTGTTTCTCTTAGATATTACAAGCAATTTTTGAATTTTATATCATTAAGGGTTGCAACTGCAACGCTTAATGATACACTATTGTGTATCATTAAGCGTCGAATATGTCGATATTTGCTTGTTTCATTAAGCGTTGGTGTTGCACTGCGTAAGTGACGTTTAATGATATAATTCTGTCATTAAGCGGCGATTAAGCATTAGCGGTTGATAATGTCAGCTATTAATGCAATAATTTATGGCATTAAGCGTTGCAATTGCAACGCTTAATGGTATTTGTAACATTAAGCGGCGTTTTATCATTAGAGGTTGCTAAAAAGCTGTATGTATCAACCACTAATGATATAACGCCGCTTACAAATATCATTAAGCGTTGCAACTGTAACAATGTCATAACTTATTACATTAATGATTGACCTGTTCAACTGCTAATGCTATATCGCCGCTTAATGAAAAAAAATACATCATGAAGCGGATGAGCATGTCAACTATTAATGCAATATTTTTTTTTACAGTAAGCGCTGCAATGTAGCTCTAATTGATATTTGTATCATTAAGCGGCATTATATCATTAGCGGTTACTACAATGCTAGATTCGCATATCTCTATATATTCCAAATTTTCGCCAACGGTTCCCCGACTATATAAAATTATGTTTTGACTTCTTAAAAATTTATTGTATTAGGTTGTGACAGAATGGGTTACTATGGTGATAAATGCAATGTTATTTGCCCTACGCATTGTAAAAATGGCACATGCTTCGTAACAAATGGGACATGTCTTGGATGTGCCAGTGGTTGGACTGGTACCACATGTAATCAAGGTATTGTTTGAATGATAATCTGTATTTTCATTTCTATTTTTTTTTATCTGTGATAGCTCTTTGGAATCAATATAGTTGACTTCTTGACCATTCTTCACAAATGTAAATTTCGCCGAGCGATAGGCGATGAGCTAAGGAGTCGGCCTAAGATGCATGTAAATCTCGTGCAGCTGTCTTTGTGTTTGACGTTTCTGGGCGATGACTATTGAAAATTAGCATTAGAGACATCTTTTAATATAAATAATTAAGTCTACATTTTTTAAATCCATCTTTTCTCATTTGAATTCTTTTTTATTCAGCATGTTCAGTCGGAAAGTATGGACCTGATTGTTCGTTATTCTGTTCCGGACATTGTATAAACGATTCCACCTGTTATCCCACTGATGGAGTTTGTTCAAATGGTTGTTCTGATGGGTGGATGGGTGTTTTCTGCAATGAAAGTAACCCTTTTTGCACATCTTAATCTTATTGAAATTACTTATGTATCAAACCTACATATAGAGCGTTTTTCATTTTTGAGAAATTATATAGTATAATAGTAATAAATAATTCCATAGAAAAAGGCATTGAAATTAATGAGAACTGTTGAAAAAGGTTGTGTTTCTGGAACCTTTGGTATGGATTGTAAAAACAACTGTAGTGGAAATTGCCTTAATGATTTAATCTGCAACAGAACCACAGGAAAATGTGACAAAGGATGTAAACATGGATACAAGGGAGAACTTTGCAATAAAGGTATTTTTTTAAAAAAATCACCTGAGTTGTAAACTGAAGTAACATTCATTAATGAGCCGTCTGTTTGTTCATACGTTTATGAGGAGGCTATATAATATTTCGACTTCACTTAGCAAATAAGAAAACATGCAATATTAATCATTATTTTGTTAAAAAAAAAAGAACGATAAATATTAAGAAGAAAGTAATTTAGACATTTAGACCCCCTAGGAAGATAATAAAGAAATGAAAGAATTTTATCAAGCTCTTTTACGGGACCAAGAGTAGGGCGGGGAACGGAGATGTAATAAAGTTTTACGTTTAAAACGTCTTAATAAGTAGTAGTTAGTAAATGAGCATCGCCATTTCGTAAAGGGATAAACTGTATCCAATTTTCTCAAATAGAAGAGAAATTAAGTTTTATTCTTTTTATGTAGTAATTTAATTTAATCGATTTAATTTTTGTCAAAACATCAAAAGGCCTACTGAGTCGAAAGCAAAGGTAATACATATGTACAAGAAGTATCCTAAATGTAAATATTTTTAGGCATTTACAAAATAAACTACTCCTGTTTAAGATTCAGAATAAAATTATCTATAAAATTTTGCCAAAAAATAAGAAGATTATAATAAATTGTCTTTATCTGGTTTTTATCGTCTTTGTTCTATATACTGTATAAGCTTGCAGAATCGGATTTTATGGACTAAATTGCTCGAAGAAATGCAGTCCATTCTGTAATAGAAACAACTGTCAAAATATCAATGGATTCTGTCTATCTGGTTGCATCAGCGGTTACAAAGGTCCAAGATGTGAACAAGGTATGTTTATTTTCTGCTACATGATTATTCATGACTTTGAAATTTTGATTGGTAATCTTAAAAAAGATGTCAATGCAATTTACCTCACTGAATATGAAATTAGAGTGTAGTGATGGATGGTATGGTCACAATTGCTCCATGAGATGTGACAACTGTGTGAATCAAACTTGTAATCGTGGTACTGGCAGCTGTCAGTATGGATGTCAACCAGGCTGGAGAGGTTCAACATGTTCTCAAGGTAATCTTTGTATATAAAGTGACATTTTTAGGAAATTAATTTCATAAATGATACGAACAGAGATATATAAACATGCGAATTTTTCCTTCAGTCTTACCTTTAGTGATATTTCGAAAATACATGTACTAATTGCAAAGTTATCAAAATACATTCAAAAAGTTTAGAAAATGGAAATAGGATAAACATGCTTCCATAACCGTAAAACGTCTAACAGATAGTATTTATTTAGAATTCAAATCATAAAATGCATCTAGTTTTAGTAGGGACTAAGTATCCAGAATAAGTAAAAAAGACAAGAGAATAAGTTAGCTGATGATGCACTTCACGTAAAATGAGTAATGATTTTTTTTCAATCTTTGTAACATATTTATTTAATGACTTCCCCTTTTCCTCATATGCTCGACAGTGTGTACCGTGGGCAAATATGGACCAGACTGCATGTTTTCTTGTAGCCAAAACTGCATTAACAAGGAATCTTGTGACCACGTGACTGGAATTTGTGAAATGGGTTGTTCAGATGGTTATAAAGGAGAGCTATGTGATTTAAGTAAGATAAGATAATTATACATGTACATATGAATTTTTATTGGTGAAAATCCAGCTGAGGTTGTCTTCATTATTTTTATAAACTACTCTTGGAATTTCTTACCTTAAAGTATTCTGAATTAAACACACTCTCAAGAAAATTATAATAATGGTTTATCACATCGATTAAATGCAGAAAGGTGCTTACATTGTATCAGCATAATTTTTATGGTGTTTGTTTCATATGTTCAACTCATATGAAAGAACAATGTATACCTGTACTATAAAGTGTGTTAAAGAAATTTGCGAAAAACTTATAAATATTTCATAAAGGCAAAATACACAATTTCATAAATGTAACTGCATTTCCCTATGAACTCAAACCTTATGATTTCAGTCTCCCATATCAATCTTTTCTGAATTCAATAAAATGAACATAAAATTATCTTATTTTAATTTTTGATTCTAAATTCAAATGAAGCATAAAATTGATACTATAGGAGATAACTCTTTATCATTTTCTTTTTTCAGTTTGTGGTAATGGTTATTTCGGGGCAAACTGTTCCAAAGTTTGCTCTGAAAACTGTTCTGATATATGCCATCATATTGATGGGACTTGTTACTGCAAAACTGGAATGATGGATTCTCCAGAATGCAAACAAGGTATCGTGTAAAAACAATCAGATATACTGTATATAGGGAAATTTTCGCCCCCGTTTTATTTTCGCCCCTTTCGCCCGACCCTCATTTGGGCGAATTTAAAAAGGAGCGAATTAAAAGAATACACAATAAATTCTTTCACAAAACTATGACTGGGCGAAATTAAAACAGGGCAAAATTGTCTTCAAGTGTGAACGGGCGAAAATTAGACGGGGCGAAAATAACCCTGTAGACAGTACATGTGTATATATTAAAATCAAATGAGTAGAATCATATATCTATTGTATGTATTCATTAACAGTACATGCATCATTTCAGTATAACTTTTTAAGTACCATTCTTTCCTGTTACGTTTATGCATATAATTTGGTTTGGAAATCCATGTATATAATTAACATTTCATTTTTTATCTTTTTATATAGTTTCATCATGGACTACAGCTAAAAAATGTGATGACCACTGTTTTTATGCTATTGGAATATCTATGTTAGTCATACTAAACGTTTTAACCTGTACGTTATGGATTCGTGAAAGGTAATCTTTTCTAATCAACTGTTTAGTTATGTAAAAATTTGTGCATTCTCTTTCAATTTTGATTTCTTTTTCATCTAGAAGAAGGCAGAAAGTGAAAAGACAGTCGTCATCTAATTACATTACAACTGAAGCAGAAATGAAAGAAAAGACTTCTGAATCACATGAATATCAAGAAGTGAATTCTGTATCACGCGATTTTTCGTACCAAAATCTCTCATTTGATACCTGAAAACTTTTGAAAATAAAGGATTTGTCTAGGTTAGTTCAGAACCCAGTATTCAAATTTTATCAATGATTGTTGATGGAAAAAAAAAAGAATTATAATTTTAACCCATACACAGAATTTCTAGTTATAATTTCCCTGGAATAATGAATAAATAAAAATTACTTTACAGTTTATTTAAAGTTGATAATGGCTTATGGGGCAGAGCAATACAATTTCTCGATCTGCTGACGGGTAAATGAAAAAAATCCAATCGACAGAAAACTAGTATTTTCGCTAATAAACAATTGCAGTTTAATAAACAAGGCCAGAAAAAGGGATAATAACTCGGAAGTGATTGATAAATTCAACTACTAGTATTGTTGAGAATATAGCAATTATTATCTCTGAACGCAATGCCAAATGGAGAGATAAAGAGAGGGATTTCTCTTTCAATTGCAATAATCTATTTACAACGTTCATGTTAATTATTTTAAATATTTTTTATGCCCTCCTTCGGTCTGTCGGTCCATTTAGTTTCCGTTCATTTTCTTCACAACCGTTGCATATACTGAAATAAAATTTTGATATACAGATTTATCAGGTGAATATCTAGGCCAAGTTCTGTTTTGGATACGATCGCACCATTTTTGACAGAGTTATGCCCCTTGGACTTAGAAAAATTCCACTTATTTGCAGTTTCCGTTCATTTTCGTTGCAGAGGTTGCACATATTGAAATGAAATTTAGTATATAGATTTTTCAGCTGAATATCTAGGTCAAATTTTGTTTTGAGTTGGATCGCACCATTTTAGACAGAGTTATGCCCTTTTGGACTTAGAAAAAATCCAAGTGGGGGGGGGAGGGGGCATAAGTGTTTTACAAACATCTCTTGTCAAAAAGTATTTTGTTAAAGAATAGCGTACGTCCTGAAGTCAGGATTGGCTAAGAATTTTCATAGAAAAAAAATCCTATAAATATGTAACAATTAATTTATCTACATTTAAATAGGTTTTAATGCTAATCAATATTTAAAGGGTATCTAACAAACTTTTAATTGATTATATAATAGTATATTTAAACGAATAGAAACAAAGTTTATTATAAATGTTGCTGGAACTACAACATTTTTTCACACCTTGCATATATTCATTATTTAACACACTACTGATCGTTGTATAAGGTACATTTATTTTTTAATTTAAAAACAATGTAAGAACACTCTTTAAATCGCAAATCTCTCTTTGTATCTTGAAATTTTTTTTTTTTACATTTTATTAAAAGAAATTGCACCCTAAAACACTATTGATGTGTTAAATAAGGAAAATAGATACGGAAATAAGTAAATAAAGATAAAAAGAGGTAGAGTGTAAAAATAAAAATGAGGAAATATTTCACTGATTAGACATTCAGTGCCATTCTCATAATAATTTCCTTGTATTTCAGTGATTGTGAAATAGTTAAAAAGTGATAACAGCGATAAACAATATAAGGAATAGATAAATCCAATAACACCGATTCGATGTACAAAGAAAAAATAAAAATGAGGATATATTTCACTGGTTGGACATTCAGTAGTCTTCTTACTTCCCTCGATTTCAGAGATACACTGTACACTGTATACTGACACGCAATTTCAGGAATAGTTAAGGCAAATAACAAAGTATCAGTTACCTGTGCTTTTGTATCCATTAGTTGAAAGGAATAACATAGGTAAAACATAGACGATATGAAAATGCAAAAAAAAAAAAAAAAAAAAAAAAAAAAAAAAACTTCCTTCCTGTCTTCATCATTGAAAGTTATTGAAAGAAAACGGAAATTTTTGGCAGATTTAATTTCTAAAAAAATTAATGTAATATTGTTTTTACTTCTTCCTCAAATTAGTATAAAAGGAACTTCTTGAACGTCAGTGGAGACGAAGATGCATAAAACTTAAATGATTAAATGGCGTGGCTTGTGTATAGGGCGGTTTCTCTCAGTATATGATTAATATTTCGCGATGACTAAGTACGAACAAAACTACTTAGGTCTTACATATTTTTTTAAAATTAATTGATAAAAACTTAATTGTATTTTTATGATACACATATTACATTATTTGTGCTTCCAAGACCGCTTAGTTATTCCTTACAAGAAGATAATGCGATTTGCCAAGGTCCCTTTATTGTAAAAGACCTAAAACAAATGATATTGGATTAAAAAAACATTTCTTTGTTAGTTGTCGAACTAAACATTCTCTCGGGTAGAAGAAACGTGTTACTCGTATAGATATGAATTTAGAATATATCCACCATAAATTAAAACAGTATGAATAAATGATATTTCTATTTGATCTGGCTAATTTATAACTGTATTAAACAGTCAAAAATAAATACTTGTTTGAATAGAAAATTGTACAATTCCATCGAACAGTAAAGGTCCTTTTGTGGATTTTCCTAGATCCAAGGTCATAGAAGAAAGTGATAAACCTTGGGCTACATTCGGACAGACCATGAACCTCCTTATGCATCATTTTAATGTCAAAAGTTGGTATTTGGTTGAGATTTGTAAAAACTCGCTAATACTCGATCAATCTGTTAAGCACAAAATACTCTGACGCAATACATGATATTATTATGAAAAAAAGAACAGCAAGATTCGTCTCCATTTATAAATTTTCAAAGGAATCAGACGAAAACAAGAGGAAATGCAGCCAGTATTAGAGAAATTGAATTTTGAAACTCGTGCATTTAAAGGACAAAAAAGTTTGATCGTGGTTGTTCCTGTGGGAAAGTTGATCTTTTCTAAACTTCCATGAAACACTTTTTACATTTTAAAGAATAATATTACGTTCTCTAGACTGTTGAAAATATAATTCAACTTGATGTATTATGTACAACTCCCTGTCCCAATCAATGTTATTTGGAAAACTCAATTCTTTCATAACATTATGAAAGACCACATGAAATATGCTTTTAAGCATTCTGAAATGCATATAGTGTCGTTTTTCTTAAGCAAAAATTTTGATGAATTGTGATTTTACTACTTGTATATGTAATAATTATGTCTCTGCTGAGTTTAGCAAAAGCGACTTTACTTACATCAGCTTCAGTGACATGGACAAAATTAGGAATAAATTTATTCTAGGCTACACTGTTCAAAGATTGGAAAATTTCTACAATAAACTGTTGTTTTTGGCATCAAAAGTGAATACATTTTATTGTAGACAATTACCTCTACATTAGAAGTGTTGTTGCAAATTCAATTTGATAGAAATTTTTATAACAAAGTGAAATTAATCAATGCAGGTTATACAACATCAAATTCAATAACTAGTTGCAAGGTTGTAAAGAAAGAAGATTAATGAGGGACTTCTTTGTTGTGAAAATATATTGAAAAGAACATTTTTCAGATATAAATATTTGTTTCACTTGACAGGTCTAGGAAAATATTTGTCTGTGAAGTCAAACAAAAAATTAAATGAGGCACTAATGTGACTGACAAACAAATCAGCTAAAAGATACAAACTGCAGATGGGTTACTACAAAAAAACTGTTAAAAATAGGTTCTTTTTTAATCGCTATTTCAAGGACATGATGCATATACATGCAAATATCTTTATCCTTCGGACTCCGTAGACATTAAAGAATTTCTACATTGTTTAGTTTTCTTTTACTATTATCCCTTTCTTATAAGATTTTAATTCTTTCTTCACCGAGTCAAACAGGTTTCACACGGAATAAGAATTTACATTTATGAATTTGTTTAGTACATTAAAAGCGACAACTCGTAGAATTAAAGATGCCTTAACTTGTAAAGTGAAAAAAGGGAGATGACGAACAGTATTCAAGATCAAAAATCCATAAAACAATACAAAATAGAAGCAGAGCCAGAACATCAGAAGTGGGATCAGGTGCCAGGTGGAGGAGTGGGCATTCCCTGCCGACCCGTCACACCGACAGTGCAGTGTTCAGAGCCTCTCCTCTAGAGTCGCGAAGTACGGAGACGATCCTAACGTCGTGGGTTCAAATCCCACTGTAGGACGTTTAGATCGGTCCTTTGAATGGAACTGTATAAACTGACGTCCCATGCCGCAGTAAGTGATGGCATAAAAAAGGATCCTCACTGCTCAATGACCAGGAGTGCCGAGCATAGGACAACATTTGTAGCTCTCCACGCTGTTGGCATCTCCATATGAGTAAAACATTCTGGAGAGGGACGTGAAACAACATATAATAAATCAATCAATCATAAAAGCGAAATGTTAAAATCCAGCCTTAGTGATTTTTCAGATTTTTCACAATTTCGCCTTTTCTAGAAAAAAAAATACCTGGCTTGGTATATTTTCGTTAAGATTTTATTACACTTTTAGCACCAATTACAAACAACCATATTCTAATTTTTGTTTTCATCCGTAAACCTTTACCGAGTGTGATTTGTCTACATTTGTTATTTCATTATTATTATTAATTAATATTTCCAAGTCTATTTCATTTTCCATACCTAAGGACAAAAAAATCAAAGAATTATCCACTTTTGTAGCGCTGTTAGTTGATATTAAGTCTCCTCAAAAGAAAACAAATGCTTGTATCATCATAAAATGTATTTTAATAGTCTAGGTTCAACACAAACATTAGCATTGGTTTTAAATTTCTTCCAAAAATTTAAAATGTCTCTATAAATTTGTGCTTAATCGCTTGTTAAAATTTATAAAGCATCTTGATTGAAGTAAAGCTTGTAAATCTTCAAAGTAAGCTTGCAAAATCCTGAACCATTTTTGCGGATCGCTATCAAAACAATACATTTTTTATCCAAAATAAGTCTAAGTGACTTGATCTGAAATTTAAAGTTTGGAACAATAAGTCCACCCTTATTCAAAACTTGCAATTTTAATACGTTGACACGAATCTCGCATGGTGCTTGATTCTTTGTGCAGTGTTTTATATATATATATATATATATATATATATATATATATATATATATATATATATATATATATATATATATATATATATATATATATATATATATATATATATATTAAAAGTAAAATGCAAATGCTCAATAACAGCGAGTTTTACGATGAAATATCAGAAAACAGTGACAAAAAGACAATGCGAAAAATCAAAAACTTGATTAAAA